TGGCTCATGTTGCAGCTCCTGTTGGCTGCCACTGGTCGCTGCCTGAACTCACGGTGCCCCGTGCTGCCCGGCCCGAAACCAGCCGGCGGCCAGCTGCTCTAACCACGGGCTTCAGAAGTCCAGCCTTCCTCACTCGCCCCTGTGGGGCTGGAGCAGCCACCAAGTCCCACTGGTCAGCACGCCGCAGAGGACGATGTCCCACAGAGCGGAGTGGGGCTTTGGAAAATGGCTTCAGCGTGAGTGCCTGGTGGGGATGGTCACCGTGCCCAGCACGCAGCTGAGTCCGTGAGATGACTGCCGACTGACATGGCCGCCATGCCCACGTAGATCCGGCTCTGCTCCGGATTGCCCGATGTCTAAATGCATGTCTCCGCTGCTTCCCAAGGGCACCATTGGGTGTGGAGAGGTGGCCAGGTAGCTCCGGGGCCCGCTGGACCCAGGAGATGGCCTGCAGTCAGACAGGGAGAGGCGGTCATCTGGAGAGCGGCGGGCGTGCAGCTGAAGAGGGACTAGAGCCCCTTCTGTGGGTGCCAGGCTGAGTGTCACATGACCACTGGTGTCCACCCACCCGCCCCCACACAGCTGTAGGGGGCCACCCCCATTGGCCCAGGTCCCCATAAACCACTGGTCTTTGCTTCCTCACTCAGAGTGGACATTCCCTGGGCTCAGTCGTCCAGAGCAAACGCTCAGAGCAGGTTCTCACAGCCGGTCAGTACTGGAGCCCTGCTGGGCCCGGGGGTTACGCAGGGCACCTGGGGCACGCGGGGTGCCCCACTCTTCCAGCTCCACGCTTGTGTTTGAGCTTCCAGCTGACCTTGCCAGAGTGCTGAGTGCCCCCCGATGCCCACCGAGGCTTCTTACTGTAAGATACAGATTGTCTGAGACCAGGAAGGGCCACGAATTTACAGGACCAGGACCCCCCACGCCGGGACAACGACCTTCGCCTGAAGCAAAAGAGACAGAGACAGAGAGAGCGTGATGTCTCCCAGATCCAGCACCCTGAAGTCAGACGTCCAGCTTCCTAAAAACGAGACAGTACACGTCTGTCTGTGACGGGATCACTGGAGATACCAGGGGCCACGGGGAGAACAGGTGAGTGCTGAAACCTGCAGGAGACAAGCCACCAGGGAGCGCTGCCCGGGAGCAGACACCTGAGGTTTCCACCACGAGACAGAACTCGCCCACTGAGTCTGGGAGCAGATGCCAAGTGTCTGTGAGCAAGTAACATGTATGTGCGAGTCTGTGAACAGGCAACATGCATGTGTCTGTGAGCAGGTACCATGTTTGTCTGTGTCTGTGTGAGCAAATACCATGAGTCTTAGTCTGTGAGCCGGTACAATGTGTGTGTCTGTGAGCAGGTACCATGTGTGTGTGTCTGTGAGCAGGTGCCCTCTGTCTCCTGGGAGCAGGTGCCCTCTGTCTACCTGGGAGCAGGTGCCCTCTGTCTACCTGGGAGCAAGTACAAACCACGTTGCTGTGTCTTTGCCCAGTGGTCACCTTTTTCTCCTGTCTCCGGATAAACAGACACAGAAGTTGATTTCCTTTACGTAACAAAGTGTGGCAAACTCTTCCTCAGCAAGAGACCTGGCTCCTGCTCGCGGCAGCCCCTGCACTCCCCAGCACACTCAGGCCCCGAGTCTCACCTCAGAGGTCGGGCAGCAGCCCGGAATTGTAGTTCGCCAGCCCTGGACTCCTCAGCTCTCTGGACACCCTGCTGCAAACAGCCGCCAAGACGCCTGGGCCTGCACGCCTGCCTGCTGTATTCACCGCTCCTGGGGGATGGAGGGCAGGCTGACCACGGCTCTAGGGGCCCCGACCAACGTCAGAGTCGGGAAGGGGGTCCTCAAGGAGCTGCAGGTATCTCTGACAACCCGTGGGGAACTACGACCCCCTCATTCCCTTTTCCACCCTCCGTCACCATCTGTGCTCCGACTGAGCAGGGCCTCCTGCTTACAGGCCAGCAGTTTCAAAGCGCCCGCCGGTCCAGGGGGCAAAGACCAGCTGCCCCGGAGAGTCAGGACCCTGGAGCCTGCAGGGGCAGGCCTGCTGCCCCACAGGGTCCTTGAATTTGAATCCACTAGACGGCAGTGAGTCTGGGTGTGTTGTGCAACTCTATCTACATGTCCTACTGTTGTATTTTTAAACACACTCTATTCACTTGTAATTCTCTGTTATTACATGCATCTTTCTATGCAGACTCTGTGAGGATGTCTCTGAGTTATTACCATGTCTCTTTCAATGCAGACTCTCTGTGAGGATGTCTCTGTTCACCTGTGTTGTGTAACCATGTCTCTGTTTATGCAGAATCCATGATCATATGTATCTGTGTGTCTCAAGCCGCTGCTATGTCCCCACCCATGTGTGTGATTACCCAGGTATCTTTCTAGTGATTATTCACCCCTCCTTTCACTTCCCCCCACACTGGTTTTCCACGGCCACCAGCATCTGCTTCTCTTGGTGGGAAAACAGTTCTTCCTTGTGTCCCTTTCTGTTCTGTAACCGCGGCCTCAGTGTCTGTGTTCGGGAGACTGCCTACTCTTGCTCAGCACAATCGCCTGCAAACACACCCATGTTGCGAGGAGCTTGACCGTCTCACGGCCATTCTTTAGAGA